CTCTGTACGAAACACAGCACGCGTGCACGGAACGTGTCCGTCTTTCTTGGTGGAAAAGGCAGCCAACTATAGGCGCTATACACGGTTCGCTCGCGCGCATTAATTGCCGTCGTAAATTGTTGCGGCTTTGCAGCCAAGTCGAAACGTGGTGGCGGCCACGTAACCCCACCCAAGCGTCGTCGTGCCCTCTTACAGAGGGGGGTGGAAAACATGGCCCCCCGATTCCGTTAGGCGTGATGATGTCGAAGAGATCGATGTTGCAGAGTGGGTCGTCGATTTAGAGGTTCGGATTAATTATGTTGCTTTTAAGTGTGCGATTGAAGTGTGATGGAATTCTTAGATGTATTGTCAAATGATGTATATGTATAGCATATATATAGCACTCGAGTATATATACATAAGTATATATACATTGTAACTGTAATATTTAATTAATATTAAGTAAATGTAATAAATATAATTAATCGTCAAAGAGTATTGTCGAATTAAATTATCATGATTTACCTTCGATTACTGAAATTAATTACATTTACTTTTCACCCCATATTCTCCACAAAAATGAAATTTGCTATTTTTAATAATTATTATTTCTACTAATAATTAACTTTGATAGAATTTTTACTTAAAATTAACTTCAATAAAAAAGTTTAGAAATTGAGCGATCTAATTATAAAGATTTGAAGTTTCATTAACCTCATAATCTGATGATAGAAGTACAATGCTACGATTGAGTGACCATGATAATGATTATAATAATCTTAATTATTATAATAATCTTATTAGAATTTAAGATTAAGAAATCTTAGAAATTAAGATTTTATATTATGTGACAGAGATTACTAGTCAAATTAAAAATCCCAAATTTCTCAAATTCTAAGTAGCCTAATTCTAAATGATCTAATGGAGCCTAAGTCAGGAATTATTAATTTTAAAATATTGAAATTGCACTGAATTGCATTTTGTAATTGTAGTATTCATATTTCTCAGAAAAATGTACGAAAGTATTTATTTCAATGATTCAAGAATACTGAATTATATTTCGAAATTAAATTTATAACTATAATATATATATATATATATATAAATACTTTCAAAAACTGTAAAAAATATTTATTTCACTTTTTTTAATAATTTAAACGTATTAAATTATTTTTCTGGATTGTTATATTATAATATACACAAAAAGATTTGTTTCATTTTTTCTCAATCATTCAAAAATACCTATATCTATTTTATTTTTCTGAAGGAAAGAAATCGTTGCAAATTTCTGATTGAATAAGTGACAAAATTAACAGAAATTTTCGTTTTTCTCAGTCGATATTCGTCAGAATGACGTTTCGCTAGAATGAAGTAACGAAAAGTAGATGAAACAAGATTGAAGGAACGCTGACGTTATGCAAATTGTGAGCTACATTGAGTTATATACATGTAGGGGAGGGGAGAGGGGGTTAATGCGAAAGTACCTGGAAAGTCTTTGAAAGTCTGTGTTCTCGGAGACTGATTATGATTGACTGGTGAAGCGATAGTTTGAGGAACTATGGTTATGCGCAACGTTCACAAGTAATAAAGCTGAAGAAGATATGGCGGACATAGATAGTTAAAATTCGCTTGTTACGTTAAGCGAAGTATTGCTATTGGTCTCATCGGTATATAAAATCGTGTGCAAGTTTGCAACTCATCGCACAGTGATCTATAGAACAATAAATCATGTTAACGGTACAGGTACGCTCATTGAACTTTTACACCATTCGAGGAGTTTTATTTTTTCAACGGGGATCCATCGTTTGTTTGTTTCATCAATCAATTATGCAACATGGTCGCTCTGAAATACTCTATTATTAATTAATTGTATTTTTCTTTTTAACTGAATGGCAGAAGTATTCGAATTAAATAGCAAAAGAACTTTATTAATAATTAAAACAAAATGGAAATACCTTTGCACGTTTGACGTTAGCATTATATCAACAAGTTCAGATAACAGTTTTAAGAGTAACATATAATATTATAAGGTAACATTTAAATAATTTTTCAGAGGCGAGCTTCTCGTGAAATATATGAAGATATTTAATCCTTGACGTTAATGATGATTCGTCGCTCACACAAAGTCGTATTATCTCGCATCACATAATTTTATTCCTCAAGCACGTAAACTTTATTTACAGGGAGTATAAATTAAGAAAACTCGAAGGATTATGTTATTTTCATGAAACTGTTCAAACGTGTGTATTCGATTAAAATAATCAAACCAAATCATGGGAAAATATATAATGAACATCAACATTAGAATGAATGTTGTAATAATTAGCAGCGGAAACAAATTTCTATCGTATTTACCAAAGTATAACATTGCACGAAGATCCACCCGTCTAATGATAACTTATATGATTTTAAGAGTAAAAAGCAATTTAGATTAAATTTAGATTCCTTAATTTTTAATAATTTTTGACGCATTTGAAATGTTATATCTATTTAAAGAATATGAGTTCTTTTTTTTAAATTCTCACTTTTTGAAAATGAGTAATATTATTAAGGAGTTTCAAAATTAACAGTCGAGATAGATTTATTAATTAGAATTAGGTTAAATTTTCTTTACTTTTAGCAACTTTTCATGCTCGAGATATCGTATGTTCAAAATAGTTCAACATTTTCTTAAAATTTCTCGTTTCTCGACTACTAATTTTGAAACTTAATAATTTTAATAATAATATTAATAATAATATTACCAATTTTATTTATACTATTATTCATATTATTTTATTTATATCATAGTTCCAGTTATGTTATTACCTTAATAATATTACCAATTTTAATATTATTATAACATATTACCACTAATAATATTAATAATAATATTACCAATTATCATAGTTATTACCTTAATAATATTATTATAATATATTATCAATAATAATATTAATAATAATATTACCAACATTATTATAATATATTACCAATAATAATATTAATAATAATATTAATAATAATATTACCAATTTTATTTATATTATTATTCATATTATTTTATTTATATCATAGTTTCAGTTATGTTATTACCTTAATAATATTACCAATTTTAACATTATTATAATATACTACCAATAATAATATTAATAATAATATTACCAATTTTATTTATATTATTCATATTATTTTATTTATATCATAGTTTTAGTTATCTTATTACCTTAATAATATTACCAATTTTCGAAAAGAGGGAATCTATAATAAAAAAAAAAATTTACCTTCTTTAAATTTACATTCTTTAAATAAATGTGACATTTCACTGTTTCACTCTGCGAGTATTTCCGTCAACGTGACAGCGTGTCCGCGTATTCGGACGATGTTGGACGCGCGAATAGCTCGCGAACGAACACGAGCTACGTCGCATTTACATTGTTTATTATCGAACGCGTACGTATCGTGACTGGTGACACACACCGTGACAGAATTTGCTGTTCATTGTTGCTTTCACGGTTGACGGCACGTTGCATAAGTATCTCGTAATTCTTAATTCGCGATGTTCTAATGATAGCCGCGGACACAGAAGCACGGTGATTTACCGACACGTTGCCTGACAGAAACTGATTTAACCATCGATCTGTGACACCGTATAAATTGAATGAAACGTCTTGCTAATTGGCGAACAGCGTCTGTCAATTTTAGAAGATTTTTATCCGTTGGTTCGGTTTATGTAAATTGGATGATTATGGTAGAAAAAATAGGCAGAGTTCTATTTATTGGTAGATAAATAAAGAACGAAAGATAACTATTCGTACGTTGAATTTATTGTCCTTCTAGTCACGTTCTAATCGCATCTTTTCGAAACACGCGATTTTCGAATTGAAACACTGCTTGATCGATTATCAAAATTTTTATTCGTTGAGCTTGATAGTTTAAATAATAATAGTAATGATTGATCGTTCTTTTTGGAAGAAATTACGTTGCTCTCTCTGTTTTCTCTTATTATGAATTTCGTCCTAATTAGGTGAACGTATATTGATAAGGTGTGTCACTTTGAACTGCTATTTTCGATTAAAAACATAATATCCAATTCCGTTCGAAACAAGTTTTCCATTTCTCCTGAAGAACGTACTTGTTCGAATTTGAAAAAGGAAATGCTTTTAATTAATTAACCAAAAAGTGTTAATTAATTAACTAAAATAATTCTATCATGTCCATTCTTTATGTTTCTTAATCCACGAACTTCCATCCAAAAAGTTGCCAATCCGAATCACCTTTGACCTATGTCAAAATCGTTGATACTAAATATCACCTACTGTTAGTGACGTTTATATCATAGTGTATAGGAAAAGAAAAAAAAAAAAAAATGAAAATATCCTATAAATTTGTAACTTTCATGGATTAAAAGTGGTTAACCATTCGAAAATGGCCACCAATATGCACCAGAAATGGTACGCAGTGTAGAGTTCAATACGCAAAATATGTAAAATTATGTTATTTCTTAGCTTTTCGAGAGTTTTCTGAAACTTCTTTGTTATTACAATGAGAGTACACTATACAAGAAAAAAAAAAAAGAAAAAAAAAAATTGTATTCATATGAAAAGTATAGAAAAATAGCGTAAAGCAGAAACTTCATTTGAGGTTACCAAATTCGCTACACGCTGGACTCAAAGTGTCAAGAAACACTACTTATCAAGACCTGGGTTGTTTCTTTCTCTTCCAGTTCTGGGAATTTTTAAGGGAATTAATGAAAAAAAATGCACGCGACGCTTCAATTAAAGTTTACGAAACTAGCGTATCGTTCTCAATAAAATTTCTCGAGGTTACTTATTTTCATATCTAATATTATATTACATTATCAACGTTAATCTATGTGGTCCGTGTTGGGAAGTTAGCTGGGAAAAAACGTAAATCTACTGGTCTCGTTGCAACGTTGATAGAAATTTAAAACACGATACACTGTAGTAATTCCCCATTAGCACAGAAAAACGATATGGTAACGACGACTCGAGGGGGTGGTCGTGGCGATGATGTCCCTGTGTCGACGACGTAGGCGCGCACGCAGTCACGCGTGTGCACGCGAGATTACGAACGACGCCGTTTACACCGAAACGGCGAGCAGCAATTGCGGGCCAGCTGTGGGGCTCTCTCTCCAGAATCCGAGGCCCCGTTCCTCGCTGACGGTCCCAACTCGCCTCGGATACCTGCCACCAGGTGTCTCCACGAGCAGTGCCCAGCAGCAAGAGGCAGGAGCAGTCGTCGGGGCGCCTTCGCACCGCCAGCATCGCGCGCGTTTCTCCTCGTTGTCGTTTCTACATTTCTCCACGTTCGCCGCGAGCATCCCTCGACGATCGCACGCGAAATCCAGCCGTGAAATCGCCGAACCGGCATGAGGTTTGCAACTCGAGTCGTCGTCGGCTAGTGAACCAACGATCGAACCTGACACCCCCCCCCCCCTCCCCCGCCCTGTCACCAAGGAAAATCGTCGGATCAAATCCTTCACCCTCGCCAATGCTGTCGGCAACACGTCGGCAGTTGCTCGACCTGACCCGTGACGATTCTAGCGACGGGGAAGGATGCAACAGCAGCAGCAACAGCAGCAGCAGCAACATCAGCACCAGGACCAGGAGCAGGACCGAGGGATCGTAACGGTCCTGTCGTCCTCCTCTTCCTCCTCTTCCATATCCGCCAGCACCGAGCAGCACCGAGACGCCGCAGTTAGCGTGACAGAAACCGGACTGCCGAATCTCACGTTACAAAGCGTGGCACTTGGACTCCAAGGAGCTCTCCTCGCCGCCCTCCAAAGGGTCGCTCTACTTCCGCCCGGTCATGCCGCCGCCGCGGCCCTCAATCTTCAGGCACTGGAGACCTATCTGACTCTTCATCGTCTTCATGCAAGCAGCGCCGCGCCTGGTGTCGGCCAATCCTCTGCCTCGGGGCTCGCTAATCACAGGTGTTCACCGGTTAACGTGGAGGCCGCGTTCACCGCTGCCACACCGTCGAAGAACGATCAGCTAGGTGCCGAACGACTGCTGCAGTCCACCGACGACGAGGAGGACGCCCGGTTGGACTTCATCGGCGATCCGGACGATGATCTGGCTCTGCTCGAGGAGCAGGAAGCGCTGTTGAGGGACACTTCCGTTGGCACGTCGTCGTCGAGCAATCACGAGGCGCTGCTGCGACGGATATCGGAAGGGAATCGCGCGAATTCGAGTTCGACTGGCGTCGCCGCGGCACCGCAGTCGTCGCAGATAGCCGTCTCGTCGTTCGCTTCGTCGTCGTCAGCCTGCTCCTCGTCTCCGTCGTCGTCGTTGACCTCCTCGTCGCCGCTACAAGCCACGTCCACCTCTGCGGCCGAGACGAGCATACCACGGACATGCAGGGTCGCCAGACCGAAGAAGCAATTCATCTGCAAGTTCTGCAGTCGGCAGTTCACCAAGAGCTACAATCTGCTGATACACGAGAGAACGCACACCGACGAGCGGCCGTACTCGTGCGACATTTGCGGAAAGGCTTTCCGACGGCAGGATCACCTGAGGGATCACAGGTAAGTCGGAGAATGGCACGTTGGTACGTAGGCGCGTGTCTGTGACACTTTTGCAAGATTTTGCTTCGAATTTCATCAGTGTGCCGTTTAGCATCCAGCATCTTGGATTTTCTTTCAACCTCTTGCGCTGGAATCACGTGCCAGAATACTTGGCCCAAAAGTCCAATATTTTCTCAATTTTAAGTATACTGAAATATCACCCAGAGTATTACCCTATTTTATATATTATTGTATGTTATTTTATATATTATATTTTGTATATTTAAATATTACCCAGAAATATTACCCTATTTTATATATTATGGCCCAAAATTCCAATATTTTCTCAATTTTAAATATATTGAAATAGTACCCAGGCAAAACGAATAATAAATTTATTGCTTCTTAGTAATTTGTTATATCCAGTGATATCATACCGACGAGATTAAAAAGAAAGCGACGAATTATTGTATACTTGGTTTTGGTCACTCGTTATGGTCCGCGAATCAAGTTGCCAGCGCAAGTGGTTGATGATTCTCTCACTTTTTTGGACATTGTTCCTCATCAGCCATTTTAAAGTTTTTTTCTTTTTCGACTTTCTTACTAACCAGGTTCTTTCTTTTGTGAGAATTTTTTGCTAGGTTAGGTCCTTTCTTTTTTTTTTTACTAGCATTTATTGATCAAAAGTTTATAGTAAAAAAAGTGTTGGCACATCTTCCTTTTTATTAGAAATTTGGATTTCTTTTGGACATTTTCGAAGTCACGTGAATTCAATCTAGATAAATGTATTTGATAAATTTAGGAATATAAAACAGGGATATCGTTGATCTAAACGAATTTTTTCCCTTAACGTAATATCATGTATTTAATTGTATTTTATATTACATATGTACTTGCATAATATCATACAATATTCGTATATAATATAAGCAATGGTCAAATTGGATTTAGGATGATTCTACAATTCAAATCGAGAGGAAAGTCCAGAACAACGAAATTCTGTTCGTCATAATGTTATTGTGATTGTTATTATTTCTATATACGATATAAATGTCAAGGCTTTTTTTTATTATTAATACGATGCATGCTTAATTTACAATTTTTAATTACACCATGTGTAATGTAAAATTGCATTCTTTGAATTGAGTTATCACATAATCTACCTATTACAGCGTATTCTGCATTTTTATTTCTTCAAAAGCTGCAACAATTCTTCATTAAATTACATTTAATTTACTCTCCATACATCGTAATACATAAATATACATATATTGTTATATAAATTATTAAATTATTATATATTATTATATTATTATTAAATAAATATATATATATATATATATATCTATATTACTAAATATAAATATATATACATATATATTACTTATATATAGTAAAGACCTAATATTACATCAAATGTAAAAAGAATCAATAGTAGTTCGTAGTGTCAATCGATCAGTATCTAGGCGCACAACAATGTGATTAATTTCCGAAACTCTCTTTCGTACGCATTTACAAACTATTCACACAGCAAAATAACACAATAGAATTCTGTCATTTTCTCTTTCTAGCACAATTTTCCAAAATCCATCCAGGTCCCTCAGAATACTTCATCTTACACGACACACAACAATAAATTAAAAACAATGTTTTCGCGTGAGAGAAACGTTGAAATTTTCACCAATCTGAAGCCGTGTTAATTGCGATTGTTGGCGAATTGAAGTGGACGATGATAATCGAACTCAATTTGCCGCCATTCAGAGATGCTAATGCCCTAGTGAAAAAATTCGTTTGGCCAGGGGAACTTCATCGCGGAAGAGACACGGAAGACAAAGCTGCCATTGTGTATGCTCGTTGGCGGTTGTGGGAAGTGTTCACGGGCAAAAGTAGCCATACCAATCACGCCACCTCGTGAAACGCGCTTTCAAACCCCGTAGGGTGTTCGCGCGCGCGCTTCAAATTGATTGCAATCTTCCCGCGCCGTCTAAACACGACGAAATGATACGGCCGAACGGTATAATTATGACGGCCGGAATAACGCCGCGGTGGTGTATTAATTACGTTGATCAACTCGTGACAATTTATCAGGCTTTTCGTATCTTCATCATCAATCAACGACGACATCAATCGATAATTGGATTCAGGCATTGCGTGTCTTCTTCTTCTTTTTTTATACTGTTATATTGTATGGTAGGTCATCTTCTTTTTCTTTTGTTTTGTGAGAAAGACGACGCACGGTGATTTTATCGAAACGGAGGGAAGCAATTTGGTGATCGATCGAGATAGATGGAAGTCAGTTTTAGCTCGTTTCAGATCGTTTACTTTTTCCGCGTTTCTGTTTGATTCGACATTCTGTTGTAAACAGTATACGCCAATAATCAGCCGTAAGCTTTAAAACTAATTGCAAGGGAATCTGTTCGAATTTATTTTTCAGGGGAAGAAATATCCCTTAACTCTCAAATATCATAGATAAAAGTGTAGAGTTCATATGAAAACTCAATTTGTATTTTACTTTTCTGCGAGAGAAATTAGAGATGAAATAGAATCAAATTATTATATATACATGATATTACGTAGTTAATATTATAAATTCAAGTATTATAATATTATATAATATCATGTGATTATTAATTTTCTCAGTGTTCGCATAATTTCAATTAGAAATCAATGATATTAATGCTGTCGTATATATTACAAAATATTAAATTCATCTCAAAGTAAGCAACAACAAATAATGTAATAACATTTTAATTGTTCCAGAGTTAATATCATCAACGATAAGAAAGCAAAATTTGTATTAAAGTATTTTCGAAAAATCATTTAGGTCTGGCAGAACGCATTTGTTGCACATTTGTATGAAAAATTACGAAGAACCGGTCACTTCAATTACTTCAATCAGTATCAGTATTAATGACCATTTACGCGTGCCACAAAATTACTTACTACCCGTGTTACCAAACAGTTACCAATATACTTAAAATCCCTTAAAATTAACACAAAACAGCCATTACTCTCCAACCAGGCCAGACATCATCTCTCATCCGTGTGTGAATTCCCAAACATCACCCTCACCATTCTCTGACGCACCTAAACCAATAACAAACCTAACCACTTTCACCGGAGCGCTCATTCGCCTGAAAAAAGCCAAACGAAAATTTCCACGCTCCGCTGGCTCCGACAATCATTAATCCCCCTAAATCCCTCTAATCCCATTACCGACCCATTCCAACCTCTCCGGCGGAGCGCGCGTCTGTCATCGAGAGCTCGCCAATCGTTTCGAATCACCACCGGGTGGATGTCGATGTTCCAGGTACATCCACAGCAAGGAGAAGCCGTTCAAATGCGCGGAATGCGGCAAGGGATTCTGCCAGAGCAGGACGCTCGCGGTGCACAAGATCCTCCACATGGAGGAGTCGCCGCACAAGTGTCCCGTTTGTGCCAGGAGTTTCAACCAGAGGAGCAACCTGAAGACCCACCTTCTCACGCACACGGACATCAAGCCATACCACTGCGCCTCCTGCGGCAAGGTGTTCCGCAGGAACTGCGACCTCAGGAGGCACTCGTTGACGCACAATTTGGGGGTATCGACGTCGCCGCCGCCGCTGCCAGGCACCGGGGCCGTCGTTCTACAGGAGACGTCCTAGTGATACTGTCGACCGATAGCGATAGAAATTTGTTCTCGCACGAGAGTGAGAGAGAGAGAGAGAGAGAGAGAGAAATTGTTCAGGTGGGTTCGTTTCGCTCATCCGATCGATTTCAGAGTCACTTGGACCAGAGTCTTATCGCGCGACTCCTCGAACCTCTTTAGCCATTTAGGATTCGGTCCGAATGAACGACGCTGTTTTCGTCTTTTTTTTTCCCCGAGCGTAGACGACGCTGCGGCGTCTCGCGGGCAAATCTGAGCATCAGGTAAATTTGATTATTCGATTTCTTTCGTAGAATTCTCCGTCATTCTTAACCACTGCCCATTGCGCTGGCAACTGGTCGCGCGGACCGTAACGAGCGACCAAAATACGTGTACAATAATTCGTCGCTTTCGTTTCCTTTCGAACTCGTCGGTGTGACGTCATCTGGATAGAAATTATTGAGAAGTAATATACTTGCTCGTTTGTTTTGTCTGTGTTACGTTTAATTAGACTTAAAACTGAGAATATGTTGCAATTTTGGGACGTCGTTCCAGCGCGAGAGGTTAAGAATGATTTGAAAATAGAAAACCTATGCAAATAAGGTGTGACTTTCAAGTAACAACGAATAAAGAATGTAATTGATTTTATTTTAAAACGACTGTGCAAATTTGTTCTAAATATTTCTCATAAAGATACTGACTAAAGTACTCAAAACTCGTATTTTCTTGTAAATTGCGGTACATGTTAGGAATTCTAATATCTATTTACAGTTGAAATTCGATAAGATTGCCGGCAACTCCACAGTGTCGTTGTAATCAATAATTCTACAAAAAGTGTCGTGATTCAAATTCACAAAGTTTGAGAAAGAAAAACGACAAAAATTTGGTTTCAAATAACCCTCTGGGAAGTCGAAGGAGAAAATTTGATATTTGTTACAAAAGTATAAAAACCTGCAAAGAGTTATGAATCACGGACGAGAATCAATGAACTCCTGCCTAACGAATTACTCGATTCGCGACTCGAATGAATTAAGATTAAAAATTGTAATAACGAAACACGAAGTTTCTTCATTGAAAATTCTATCATACTGATTCTTTCCTTCTACAACTCGTTTCCACGAGTTAACTCTTAACAGAGTCACGGGACTCTGAAAATTTTGCAATTTCCCAATTAAAATTTCATTCTCGATCAATTTTACGATTAAGAATTACTCGATCGATATGCTTGATCGCGACGAAATACAAATGTTCCACTCTATCGGCGATGTCGCTTAAATTTGTCTCGAACGTGTCATTCGTGATAGAATACGATTTGATAGGTGGTTGTTATCACATAAATGAAATATACGCGAGACTCGTTACTGTCCTTGATTTTTTAAACGTGTACTTAGCTGCGTATGTATTTCGTAGTTGTTAATATACGTAGGGTATAATTATAACTGCATATCAGGATGTTATTCACGGATTCATGATCGTTAGATTTGTAATTATGTTACGCACGACGTATTATATGTATAGGTAGCTCGGAGTAGGACATACAAGAGGGTCGCCCTCGTATTTTTTTTTTTTTCTCACACTGTGTACCTACGTGCCCATGTTGTGTTTCGTTTGTACGTGTAAAATAAACTTTTATTATATTATTTTTTAAACTGTTGTCGTTGTCGTCGATATCCTCTCGGCCAGTCCCTCTCCTTGAAGATAAGAATTTATTTCCAGGATTTTTAAATGGCTCATGAATCCAGATGTTTGAATTTAATTTGAATTGGTTTGATTTGGTTGACTAAATAATTGATGATCACTATTTATAGCTGATGTCAGCCAAGATAATTTTGGAATTTTTAATTTGATCATTGAGTTTGTCGATAATCTCTAGCAAAAGAAAGGAGACTGTAAAATAGAAAATTTCAGTAATCTAACACTGATTGTTATAAGTGTTTACACTATTTTGGTGTTAATGGAATATCACGTCTTCTGAAATTTCATTTTAATTTACTACGGACATAACATAACAATAGCTATTGTTTGATGCTTGATAAAAGATCTCAGAGAATGTAAAATTAAATAATCAGAAAGAGCAAAATTAAAATAAAATTAAGTAGTCAATGTATTAAAATTAAATTAAAAATATCCAAGATTTCAGCAACATGTTTAACCCAACTATTTGCTTTTGATCGAATTTTGCATTTAATTCACTATTTCATCGAATTGCAATTAAAATTTTCAAGATATGCAAACTCTTTGGCATACAACTGAAATACACTATGAAATATCAAGTTGTACGTGCGAAACGAAGTATTTTGCAGCAGTCACCGACTATGCTCATATCACAAGTAGATATGTATGATATTTAAAAGAAGAGTAGCATTTAATTACGGTATAATAAGATATAATTCGAAGTAGAAGTTGCAGAAAGAAGAGCAAAGAGAACGACGAAGAAGAACTAAATTATTTGAGGGTTAACTCTTTTATTAACCAGCCTATGATTTGTTTTTGCCCATAGTTTCGGAGTCAACTATCTTGTAGACAATCCGTCAACGCATATGTTTAGAATGACTGGTTGGTTCTTATTAATTAACCACTTGCGCTGGCAACTGATTGCGGACCATGACGAGTGACCAAACCCGTATACAATAATTCGTCGCTTTCTTTTTCTTTTGAACTCGCCAATATGATATCACTGGATAGAAATTATTGAAAAGTAGCAAATTTATATAATATATACATATCCTTATTATAAACAATATTAAATTGTTATATAATATATATATATATATATAATTATTTTATTTGTTTTGCCTGGGTTATACATAAATATACTTAAAACTGAGGAAATATTGCAATTTTAGGAGAAAAAATTCTCGACATGCGTGGAACGTCATTCCAAACAAGCAAGAGGTCAAAATCACATAAATCAAGACTCGTTGAATTTTTGTTAATCGAATTTCGTATCATAATCACATCAAAAATAGTGTCACACTCGATTCGACTAATTCTTGATTGCAAAGCCAAGAAGATTCTCTCGATACTCGATCGTTTCGAGCTCGAGTATTAGGCGAACAGCTCCGAAGAATTCGTGTTGAAGAATAAGGGCATATCGCTACAAGATAGAAGTTGAAGAAGAAGAAGAAGAAGCAGCAGCGAAGACAACGACGACGACGAAGAAGAAGAAGAAGAAGAAGAAGAAGAAGAAACGCGTGTATCGTGTTACAAAGAACGAGGCCGCCAGGTGCGCGGGGACATGACACCGCGATACGTCTAGGGTTACGTTTCTTTTTCGAAGGTAGGTGCCGGAGAGGCACGAGGTGGGCCCCGAGCACGCTATTTTGGTGCCCGGGGAACGGGCCCGAACGCGGGACAGCTCGCGTCGATAAGGAGAATCTCGTACGACCGGTCGGCTTCCACTTCTTCCAACAGGCCGCTCTCCGAACAGGCTAGAGAGTTCGTTCTCGAACCTGGAAACTCGAGGAATTCCGATCCGGATCAAAAATGAAGAAAAAGGAAAGAGACAAAAGGAGAGAGAGGGAGAGAGAAGGTGAAGGGAAAGGGACGAGTGAAACCTCGTGTCTCAGCCTTGTAAAGCGAATTTACATAATTTCTTGACAGCTAGTGTGGCGAAATTAATTCGCCGGGATATAATCCAGGTACCATTCGATACCACACGATCCAGATTTCGTTGTGCTCGTTGACGATCCTGATTCCTGGCTGCTTCGTCTCTTTGCAAGCAGATTTAGCTCACGTGAGCTTCGTTTGTGTCAGCCAAGATATTCTGATTTGTGCGATCGATTAGTCGTGATCGTATTCTTGCTGATTGACAATGTGTCACTTTAACAAACAGTATTAAACGTGAATTTTTGCAACATGAATGAAAAATCACAGGTAGAAGTGGGACAGAAGCGGATTTTTGTTAATATTGAATTCTAATTTATATGAAATATCGAGTATTTTATAGAGGATGTTGCGTTTTAATTTTGCTGCGCTGTTATCTTCAAAAGTATTCGTTTTATTGTAAAAAGTGTCCCACCAGATCTCAAGATTGTCTCTATTTCTTTTTTTTTTTTTTTTTTAATGGAATCATACAATCTGTAAAAATGTTACCTATGCATGTTGAAAAATTATTAGCTTAGGTTAGGAGATATTTTAACTTTAATTTTGTAAAATCTATGATAGATGTATGATAGATGTATATTCTTGTATTCATACTGCCTTTCGTGCGATACAAATTGTTTTATAAACTTCGATTTAGAATATCACTCAAACTAATAACTTTTTATATATAAAGCTTTATATATATATAATATATATTATATAATATATATATTTTATATATAACATAAGCTTTTTATATATATAAACAGCTCAATATAAACAGATTAATATCTTTTTTTTAAAAGAATAGCTGCGTAGCATATTGATCAATGGATGGAAGTGATCTTGAGATACCGGAAACGCCACCACCTAGACGAATCGTAAAATGTCCCCATCGAAACAGAACAAATTTTATTTAAACACTTCTTCGAACAATGAACAGATGCGAAGATAATTGCGTGGAAAGATTAAAATGGGACACTCTGTATAAAACATTCACGTGATATATATTATAATATTATAATATTATAAACTATATTATAAACTATATATACTATATATACTATATATTATATATTATAGTATTATATACTACAACTTAACATTTTCAATATATATATATATATATATATTTAATATATATTAGGATACTACATACATATTACATATATTTTATATTATACTACATGTTAAAATATAAATTCGTATAATCGAACTGTTACTATAGTTTCGTTTAAAAAAAGAAAATGCAGTTGATTCATTAAAATATTGCTTGCATTAACTTCAATTGCTTTTAATTGCAGTTGTGCTAATTTTTATATAAATTAGAATTAGCTATTACATGGTTAGAGCTCATTAAAAAATAAAAGAGAGAAAACGAACTACTACCATTGAAAATAACTGAATAATTTCAATTAACAAATTCAAAAAATTAATTCACCAAAATATAAATAATCCAGATTGGATCGTCTACGAATCATTTCTCGGCGATTTGTAAGTATTATTTCTATTATTTAAAAAAAAAAAAAAATCGAACGACTACGTCAGATTTCGTCGATTCTGAGTTTTTATTATCAATTATTCATTTGCGTTCCGCGTTGGTTCCACCGTCACCGATTTGGAAAGAGGGAAGAGGAAATAAATCAGAACCGTCGTCGAGGAGCGGAAAGCGTATCGTCAGGTAGAGACGCGCATTAAATCGCATATTAAGTCTGTCATTTCCTCATTTAAAAGCGAAGGGAGGTATAAACCGGTAGGATCGAGGAGAGAGGAGCCAGGCACGAGGCGAAGCGAGAGAGCGAGAATGCGATGGGACGAGAGTGGGACCCCGGAGAGTTCTCTCTTTTCCCTCGAGCATGGTGGAAGAGACCGGAGGTAAGGATGGAAGTTAAAGGGGACATAGAAGGACCACACGCACGCGCCGCCCACAGATACGCTATCACCTGGCTACGACCAACGTGATCTGCATGCGCATGTCCTCTCTTCGTCACGAACTCGGGAGAGGGAAAAAGGAAAAGAAGAGAAGAGAAGGGAAGAGAAGAGAAGAGAAAAAGAAAAGGCCGAGGAAAAAGAACGTCGAAGAGCGAGAGAAAGGGAAAGGTGGATCTGCCCTTCGCCTCTTCTTCTTCTTCTTCTTCTTCTTCTTCTTCTGCTTTCACCCCCTTCGCTCACCAACCTTCGCTGATTTAAGGGGTTGGCAGAGCGTCGATAACACGTCCCTGCGGAATTTCTTCTTCCTCGTCGGGATTTCTTTCTCCTCGTTTACACCCTCTCGTTCACTTTCCTTCGCCTGGATATCTTTTACACGCGCGCCTCGAAGAAAAGACGATTGGGTTACTCCTCCCTCGCGATACCGGTGTCACTATCGTACCCGTGACCGCCGGGCTGCTTGACCTGGCAACGCGATCTACAGAGGTGGACGAGAGACTCGGGCCTATTAATTGGAATGATCTTTGAGCTACTTTGTTTCTTGGATATTTTCGTGCGATACTTGAGGTATAGCACGTGTTGTTGAATGTAAGAATCTTGCAACGAAATTTTCTGAATTGATTGACCATTTAATCTGTTGCGCTGGCACGTCCCAAACTGCAGCATTTGCTCAGTTTCAAGTATATATTTAAATGTAACCCAGGCAAAACGAATAATAAATTTATTACTTCACAATCATTTCGAGCCAGATGATATCGTACCGACGAGTTCGAAAGGAAATGAAAGCGACGAATTGTATAGGTTTTGGTCACTCGTTATGGTCCGCGCAACCAGTTGCCAGCGCAGGGAGTTAAAACAATGTTGAAACTCTTCACTTGATCGACACTTTTCACCGTATCATAGCAAGTAAATAAAAAAAAAAAAAAAAACAAGCAAAGTAGTGGATGTTTATTGATTAATTCATATAGACGTGATTTAAAAATGACGTTGAAAAATGGCCACTTTTGACCATTTGTATTAAATAAATAGAAAACATTTGTTCTAGAAAGCATAATTATTCATTGATGTTATTAATTAATCAATTAATGTAAGAATTCATTTTCTCGCGTTCTCTAAAATTTTCTCATC